CAATGTGGGTGGAAACAGCCAGGGTGGGCTTGGTGGCTACCTGGGTTCAGGGGTCTAAGTTTCTGTCATCTCCTTGCTCCAGCCTAATATGTGGCTTCCACCTTGTGGGCCAACATGACTGCTCTGACTCCGGACATCACATGTGCACTTCAGCTATTGGGAAGGAGGGGAGTGGAAGGGGGGAGCATAGTCCTTTCCCTCAGGGGTATGACCTCACAGTTGCCTACGACATCTACTCACATCCCACTGGCCAGAGCTTAGTCATGTGACTACACCAAGCTGCGAGGGGGGCTAAGAGACATCAATGTTACCCAGGTGGCCATATGACAAGCTAAAAACTCTATTCACATGTAAGAAGATGAGAATGGAAATGAGGGGACAAAAAAGGATGGAAAAGAAAGGAGAACAACAGAATTTGGGAATGAAGTAAGGGGGAAAATAGAGTGGGAGAAGAAAAAGTAACAAGTTTATGTTGATAAAGGTAAACTATATTTTAAGCTGTTTTCTCATTTTCTGTTGCTCAGTTGATTCTAGACTTCTGAGTTTGTTTATTACTGCTATTTGCAATGTCATATAGCAAACTTAAACCTCCGTTTATCTCTTCTCCATTTATTGAACTCCATTCAAGGAATATGCACTTGTGAGTGCTTTCTACAAACCTGAAACTATAGTGGGTGTCAGACATGCAGTGCTGGCAGAGAAAGATCGGTTCCGGCCTCGAAGGAATGAAACGAAAGTAGTCACATGGTGGGGGAAGTAGATAATGATCAAGTAATTAAAAAGTGATTAATGATATAAAATGAGGAGTACAGGGAACTATAGCAGCAAAGAGGTGAACACCCCACCTATGCTGGAGAAAGAATAATTTCTTTTATTAAATTTTCTTTCTGAGTCAGATAGCCACAGAAACCCAATAATAAAAGGGTTATTTTTCTGGATTGCATTGATTCCAACAATATTACACTAGAAGCTAAAGAATCAAGCCCATTTAATTGAATCTAATGAAACAGCCATGTCTGGAGTGCCCACTGTGTCTGAGATCCTGGGCCAAACACTGTGGGGACTATAAAAGAGAGGAAGCGATGGTCTCCCATCTTAAGTAGCCTGCACTCCAGTGCAGGAGACAGCAGTGTAACTCAGGGCATCTGTGACCAAGAGGTACAGCAGAAATGTCCACAAAACCTAAGGGGAAAGGGAGATAAATTTTGACCTTTGAAAATCTGATTGGGTAGAAGGATCTTTCAGGAGGACACAGCTGGAACAAAAGGCAGAAAATGCAGGGTACGTTTAAGGACTGACTTTTAATCAACTGAATTGGATAGGATGGTGGAGGAACTGAGGGGTGTCAGATGACCCTAGGGGCATGCTTCATAGATACTTGTAGAAGGGCAGGATGTAGATACGGGGAGCCTTGATCACTAAGGACTTTCTTTCTTAGGACATAGGGCAATTGATGATATTACTCTTTGGTTTTGGAAGCTAACTATGGAGAGGGGGTCTGAGGGCAAGGAAACTAGAGAAGAGACTTTAAAAATTGGCTAGACAGTGAGGATAGAAGAGCAAGGCCTTATTCTGGAGGCTTCCTCAGGCTGCGCATCTGACTGAATGTGGGAAGCGGAAACACAGGGGCGAAGACAACTCTAAGGTGGTAAGCCTAAGTAACTGGGAGGGTGCTGATGACCTTCAGTGGTTTAGGGAAGAAAAAGAGGAAGGAAGCATCATGTAGATGCTACTGTTGTCTACCCAACAGCCATGTCCCTGCTCTTCACAGAACCCCGATTTTCTCAAATGTCCAACCCCTCCTCAGTCTCTGAGGAATGTCCTCATGGGTATAAGCCAAACAACTCAAGGGTCCCCTCACCCTGCTGACTGGTATTGATCTGGGGTTGGGGGAAGCATGGTGCTCAGGTTGGCCCTATCGTACCGAGTGCAGAGTTCACGTTTGGGAACGCATACTCCATGTTGTAGGACAAACACAGCAGTGTGGGCTAACCTGGCCTGAAAAGGGAAGCCTCAAGGAATTGAAGAGTATCAAGGAGATCATGGAGAGAGAAGAGCTCAGTAAATCAACCCTGTTGAGTTGTGTTTGAACCTCTGGGCTCAGCCTTGACCTGCATCTGTGTAGGTCTAACCCTAAACAGATGACCAGACCAGAGAACTGTGCTGTGGGACAGAGGGCCATGCTGGTTCCGCACTGGTCACTGGAAGACACATGCAGGGCACAGATCCAAATGGCCCTGCAAGGACTTTGGAACCTGAATTGTCATTAGAACTACAGCCCACAGAAGGCTGGCTGGAACTCAGGGCCTGAATCCAACTGGTCCATTGCCTGCTAAAACAAAAATATAAAAATTCTCCCTAGGATTTAAACAAGACCCCAAGTCTCATTACATAACATTCAGGTGTCAAAGTGCAATCCAAGATTACTCCTCACACAAGAACCAGGAAAATTTCAACACACATGAGGAAAGATAAGGTGCAGATACCAATACAGAGATGACACAGATTTGGGAATTATGATGTTTAAGTAGCTATTATAGAAATGTTCCAAGAAGTAAAGGCAAGAAGACTTAATATGAATGGAAAGATAGAAAGTCTCAGAAAATAAATGAAGATGTAAAAAGAACCAAATTGAAATTTTAGAACTGAAAAGTACAATAGTCAAATACAAAGCTCTCCACTTGGACTGAATAGCCAGGCTGCAGATAACAGAAGAATTGTTGCATTTAAAGACAAACCAATGGAAATTATCCAGTCTGAACAGCAGAGAGAAGAAAGCTCTGGTGGGTGTAGGGATCGCAGAGCCCCTCTTTCCTGTGGGAGAATGCTGGAGGTCTCCATTCGTGTCATCAGAGTCCCAGAAAGAGAGCAGAAGGAGGAAACTTCAGGAAAAATACTTGAAAGAACAATGACTGAAAATGCCCCCAGTTTTTAAAAAATATTTTATTGATTATGCTATTACAGTTGTCCCATTTCCCCCCTTCACTCCCCTCCACCCTGCACACCCTCTCCCACCCACATTCCTCCCTTTAGTTCATGTCCATGTGTCGTAAGTTCTTTAGCTTCTACATTTCCCATACTATTCTTGCCCTCCCCCTGTCTATTTTCTACCTACCATCTATGCTACTTATTCTCTGTACCTTTTCTCCCTCTCTCCTCCCCTCACTTCCCTGTTGCTAACCCTCCATGTCATCTCCATTTCTGTGGTTCTGTTCCTGTTCTAGCTGTTTGCTTAGTGTGCTTTTGTTTTTGCTTTAAGTGTGATTGTTAATAACTGTGAGTTTGCTGTCATTTTACTGTTGATATTTTTTCATATTCCCCAAATTTTGATAACAAGCAACAGAGATACAAGATGAGACTAAAGAAAGGCAAACAAAATGTCATGGAATACAACCAAGGACTGAAAAAGACTTTGAACATATGAATGCCCAATACTGCCCCTTAGTTACTGTGTGACCTTGGGGAATTTTGCTTTTCTCTTGGAGTCTCAGTTTCTTCATCTGTAAAATGGGTAGAGTAGGATCTGCCTGAAATAAGGTTGTCCTGAGGATTGAACACAATAATCTCAACAAAGCACTTAGCATGATTCCTGACTCACAAGAAGTGCTGAATAAATAATAGTTTTTTAGAAAGGAGAAGGAGGGTGGTCAGCAAAAAGACAAGGATGATGAGAACTGAAAGGAGACCACAGGGTTTTGCAAGAAGCAGATGAGTATATGAGATGATTGTGGCCAGAGCAGGAGCTAGACTATTTTAAATTGAAGAATAATGAGGGCAGAGGAAGGAAAAGAAGTGAGCATGAACATTTTTTGACAAGTTTGGTGATGAAAGAAGGTGAGAGAAAATACCTGCTTGAGATGTAAAGCTCCCAGAATATTCCCTTTCTTTTTTTTTTTTTTTTAAGATGGAGAATAATCGGATCCTGTTTTTCAAGCTGAGGGCAAGAAGCCCAGGAGAGAAAGGTTGTTCCAGGAGGGACATGGGAGGGCTGACAGCACATGGCCTTGGAGGGGACAGGAAGTAATTGGAGCAAACTCACAGTTTTTTGTTTTTGTTTTTAAAGTTCTTGTTGATGCGAATGGCTTAAAGCAGGAATAAAAAGTCTGTTACTACAGAGGGTGCGTGATTATCATGATCTGCAGGTTTCTAAACCAGGGATTCTCAACTCTCTTCCATGTTATGGTACATGAAGAAAATGATAGTAGTATGTGTAGATATATTGGTATAGAACACAGGGGATTTGGAAGTAATTCTCTGTGGCTGGGTGAAAAATGTAGTATGTCTTTATATGATAAAAATAAAATGTAGGGTATCAGGGAAGATGTTAAATGTTGAGTTTATATAAAAATTCCATGTAAAATATTCTCAAATTACTTACTTAGAAATTTAAGCTTACTTCTGAGGACATACCTATAACTTTAATATAAGATTATATGCCTGAAAGGACTATAAACATTTCTTGGTGTGGACTTTTTAATGATCATCTCTGGCTGGTCAACATGAATGAGAAACTTTGTTCATGAAGGTTGATGATTTAAAATATTTATTAGTTGCCCAGAGAATCTAACGCTCTTCCATTCCTTCCTAGACAAATATGATATTGAAATGTGTGGTGATGATGCAAACAGATATTTCTCAACAATAGAACTTTTTCATATCATGTACTTCGAAGTAGTGATGATGTGCGAATGTGAAGGGAAGGCAGGTGGCATTGGAGCAGTCATCTTGGAAGTAGCTTGAATGTGACTAAAGGAATCCATCAGGCACAGATAAGTGGCAGCGTCTGCTGTGTGTCAGGACCAAGATTCTGAGTCGCCACCTGGTGCAGTGCCTGCGCTGAGCCCCTAAGCGAGCGCACTGTGGGCCATGATCTGGCGCTCTGGGCACCTGGAACCCACACTCCTGCGGCAGCTCCACAGACCCACGACCACCAGGCAGAAATGTGCTCGGTAGCAGGTGCTGGAGGAGCATCCTGGCTGGAGGGTGCCTCATTGGCGGGAGTTAATGCATTGCCACCCAACAGCAGGGTGAGCCAGTGGAGGCCAGTGTTGCTCGCAGCTAGTAGTGAGCACACATAGTCAGAGCTATTCTGCTTAGGGTGCTTCCTCGAGCCTCCAAGGAGCTTCGTGATTTTAGGTGCCCAGCCACGAGGACTTCCTTGGCTGCTGGGGCAGTCAGTGGCTGCCAGAGCACAAGCCGCCTCCTTCCCTGCACACCAGTGGGCCGCTCGCAGCACATCAGCTGAGGAGCTCCGGCCTAGAAAGCCCAAGGGAGAAAGTATTGACATTAATATAATAGGGAAAAGGATGACTTCATATATGAAAGATGCACATGCCTATAAAGATAAATATCTGGACAATTACTGGATTTTCTATATACTAACTATAAACATAATGGAAAAACATATTTCATTCCCAATAGTAACAAAAGAGATGAAATACCTAGGAGTAACTTAGCAAGAAATGTGAAAGATTTATATAAATAAATGACAAGATTTTACTACAAGATGTAAAAGAAGGCTTCAATAAATGAACCATTCTATGCTCTTGGATGGGAGAACTGAATATTATAAAGATGTCAACTCCTACCAAATTAATTTAATGTTGTAATATAACTCCAATCAAAGTCCCAACAGGGTTGTTTTTGAAATGCGACAATATCACTCTTCAGTGCATCTAGAGGACAACAGGCCATGATAACTAATACATTTTGAGGAAAAAATGGGGAGTGGAGGAGGATTAGCAGAGAGGAATTAGCTTTCCCAGAAAGTAAAAGACAACAGAAAAGAGCAATAATGTTATCAATTTGTTTCTATTACTAGTACAGATTAGTGAGACAGAGAGACAGGCCAGAAATAGCCCATTGAATACATATGATGATGATAAAGAAGGCACCACAAACTGGATGGAAGTGGAGGACAGTGGGGGCTGGAGCAGGGGATGGAGAGACACTGTTCTCCGAGTGTGTGTCTCTGTGCAGGATCCACAGCTAGACTCACGCTTCTCCCGTCTCTCCCAAGCCCTGGCTTTCTCCCTCGTCTCTCTGCTCTGGTGTCCCTCACCAGGGAGCTCCTGTTCCCGCCCTTCCAGGGTTTGCTGAGAGCCTAGCCGGGCTTGGGTTGGGGTGGCTGCGGCAGCTTAATTCAGGGGTGACTATTTTGGCTGTTTATCTAAAAACACATGTTCTAATGTAATTCTGAGCTGTACTCAGAAACAAAGACACCCTCGGCCCACATCGTGTTTTTATCTTTTAATGGGTTTCCAATTCATGAAGAGGAAAGGCTGCTATTTGTTGGTACAGCTAAAATTCCAAAACTCAAACAAGCATTTGGCTCACTGGGGGGAAAATTTTATATTATAACACAGGCCAATATATGAAGACTGATTTTTTTAAATGTCACACTATTAAAGACAAAAACTAGAAGACAATATCGAATTTCTCTTTCAGGGAAGAACTCCCAGAGTTAAAAACAAATGCTAAGATCCCAAAGGCAAAGATACATTACTCTAATAAGATTTTAAAAACAGTGCATATATATTAAAAAAGCAACAGTGAATGAAAAGGCAAGTATCAAAATGGAAAATTATTTCCAGTATATATCACACATAATTTTACACTAAATTTATCAAGTACACAGACAAAATGGTCAAGGACACGGACCCCTCAGCAAGTGAATGGGGAAAAACCATTAATAGGCAATTCACAAAAAGAAAAGTACAAATAGCTAATGAATAAGTGAAAAAATGTCATATACATGAATGATCAAAGAGATGCAGTTAAAATAAAACATCACTGTTTGTCTATCCAGTTTGGGAAAAAAACGATAAAACAAGAATACCTAGTCCTAGCGAACATATAATGAAATGGCCACTGTGACTGGTAAGAATGAAGTCAGTATAATTTCTCTGAAAAGAGATTTGGCAAAATTTATTGAGTCTTAAAACGCTTATACTTTTTGACTCCAGTAAATCTAGGAATCTACCATAAGGAATTTACAGAAATGCAAAATAAAGATTTATGCCCCCAGGTTCTTATGATAACAAAATAAGTGGGAAAATGTATGTACGTCCAACATCAGTAAAGATTGAGTACATTTTTTTACTCATGTAATGGAATATTATGCCGTCATTAAAATTAAACAAGAAAGAACTTTTAAAAATCATTGAAGAACATTAAAAAACCTTAAACCCCTCTCTGTTAAAGTGGTTTAAGGCAGCTTGTGGGCATATTTGAAATTCAGCAAGATCGACTGCGCTAGAAATAGTTGAGGGAAAGGAGCCAGGAAGGGTAGGGACAAAGTAAGAGCTGGAAAGAACCTTTTACGAAAATGAAAAACTGTTGCTCGAGCCTGAACACTGGCTGTGAGTAAGCCACAAATCTGACTCCACGCAAATCCAGAAGGAAAGGTGTTTTACAGCAGCCCAGCATGGGATCGGCTAGGGAGGTAGCATGAGACATATACAAAGACTGGGTTAGGTGTGATGAAAGGCACGTACCCGGTTTGGCAATGTGATTTTGTGGAGGATCCACTTGGCAGACATCTGTGATTTTCTCCAGCAACTCTCAGCAGCCTGAAAATAGAAGCCACCGACCACATCGGAGGCTGAGAAAATGAGCGTTGGGTAAACTCAAATTTGGAAATTGACACAATGACGGTGAGACATGTGCAGGGTGGTAGAAGCTCCCATGTGCTTCTTTGAGCAATCGTCTATTCACTCACCGGGACGTTATTGAACATTACTGAGATCTCTAAATTTGGGCATGGTTGGGGGCAGGCACACAATAAATAATACCCACAGTCGATTTGTGTAATTAGGTACAAAAAGAACAATCAAGCAGGGTGCAGGAATGGAGAGTGTAGACTGTGTGTGTGAGATGCTGGTCAGTGAAGACTTAAAGGGAGTGAGTCACGAAGGTATCTTGGGGAGGAAGGTGAGGGGATGAGGGCATCTGAGTCACTAGGACCCAGAATGGGCAGCGAGAAAAGAAAGGTGAAGCAAGGACTTGAGTCTTAGGTGGAGAAACTAGAGAGCGTCTAGATACAGCTCACGAAAGAGAGATACCTCTTTTCCCTTTAGACACTCTTTGGTCTGGTTGGGAAGTTATCGGAAAGCCAAATGGCCTGACGGTAGAAGTTATACACTAAGGATAGCTGAGTGGAAAGACAGAATCTGGGTCTTTGGTGATTTCACATCGAGTGAACCAGTCCCGGAATCTACTGCAATCTGCTCGGTGCTCAGGGACCACAGTGATGACACGGAGCATCTGTGGTTTGCACATTCAAGTACTTTGCACAACGACTCCTATAAGTTGGCACATCTTCTGAGATTTTCTACAAAGCTCAAAAAGCAAAGACAAAGTCAATGTTAAGGATGAGATGCATCATTACTAAGCACTGACCATTTGCCACGTCCTTCAGCAAGGAAGTATAGCCCTGAAGATGGATAGCCCTTACAAACTATGAATTTTACTGCCCATGGTCTTAAATCTTTGTACATACAGAATTATTGAAAGAAAAAAGACTTCACTTAAAATAGCCCCTGATATTTGTATAGAAGTTTATGCTTTTAAAGAATAATTTCACACATGACTACTTACTACTCTAAAGAAACACATTATTATGTGCTAACCACTTTGGAAATGCTAAACTAAAGAAATGAGTCTGTCTCACCCAGTTATCACAGAGTTCCGTCATGGTCCTGTGTTCACCAATCACTCATGCAGATTGCTAGTAAGAAAAATGAGCGAGCAGGAGGGGCTCTGTGAGGAAGGGAGGCGGTGATCAGACCCCACTCAGGCGTGGAGCCTGGGAGCCATGTAAACCAAGTGCACGGGGGAGCACAGGCACCAAAGAGAGAGCCGCAGAGTCTGAAATTTCCTGATATGGCCACCGTCGACCTGCCACACTCCGAAGATATGTTTCATGTGCTTGCCAAGAAAGCGGTGCAAAATGGCTTGCGAACAATGTCCCAGCATGCTCCTGACAAACCCCGAAATGGAATTGGAAAGCATTAAATGGGATTGGATTGTCAATAAATGATACGCGAAAACATCAACAGAAAAAGCTTTTTATGTCCGTCTCAATTATTTAATCTCTGCCAGTTCAGATGTGCATCTCCCCTGCCCTGGTATTAACAACCGCTGGCATCTGAAGAGAAGCGAGCTGTTTCCACGTCCTTTGGAAATGGAAATAGAGGTGTCAGGGGAGCTCAGAGAGTAGCAATGGGAAGTGCTATTGTTCATAGTAATGGCCGCTAATTAAAAATGCACAATAATACCACCAGGGCCATGAATTGTGCAGCAGGTCTTCTGGATGAGGAAGGTGTTTGTCAGATTGGGCCTTTTACGCTGGTGGTGCCAACAGCCCAGCTGCGGAGGCTGTCTCTGCAGATGTGTTTGGTGGCTCGATGTTTCCCCAAATCTCTCTTGTATGGCAGTTTTAGGAATATGGCAATTCTGTACTGGAAGGGACATTAGAAACCATGGAGTCCAGTGCTGTTGTTCTACAGAAGAGGAAATAAAGCCCATAGAGCGGAGGCAGCTTGCTAAGTTCCAAGTGATGGCTAGGCCACAGTCTAGAGCAGAACTCAGGCCCATGGAGTTCCCGCCACAGTTCTTTCCTCTGCTCTGCAAGGCCCTCCCTTGTAAGATACCTTGTTGTCTGTGGAGTCATTGATAACAGGCATCCTCACACGGTGCAGAGGAGCACAGGGTTTAGTTGAGGGGACACGCCCACCCTGTGAAAGACAGGTCATCTTTCTCTCGGGTGCCACACTGCTGGGGGCAGACGTGCACAGCCACGCTCAGTTATTTCTGGAGGGCGGGATTGGGGTGATTTTAATTTTCTTTTTGTGTCTTTAAAAAAATGTAATAGTATTTCCATAGTTTCTTCTCTAGAGGGTCTGTATTGTTTTTGTGCTTTAAAAATAAGGCACAATTTTTCTAAAGGATTTTAGGGTCTGGACAGGACCCTGGGAATGGGTTGTCAGATCAGAGCAAAGAGCATTGTGACCAGGGGCGAGGGAGGCATCAGTGCTGCAAGGCTGGGGTGACAGCTGATTTGGCCACATAGAAGCTGAAGTCACTCACGATGATGGCATGAGACGCTGAGGCAGAGAGAAAGCTGGGAGTCCAGTGGGCCACTTTCTGCGATGCCCCGCGGGCGGTTTTCCCGACCCACATCTCAGCTCACCAACTCTTCAGCTGTGTCTACACTCATCCATGGAAGTTTTGTTATTGCCGGCTTTTCCATCAGAGGGTTCTATTTGGTTGTTTTCCAAATTTGTTATGTTGCTTTTAATGGTTTTCTGTTCCCTGTGGATATTTTTTAAGCTTCCATTTATAACTTTAAATATCATAAACATAATTATTTTCTTCTCTTTATCTGAAAACTTCAATATCTGAAGTTGTACATGTGAATTTTTATTTATTTTATTGCTTATTGCTCTGGAGTTGTTAGCTGTGATTGTGTGCATGCCATTATGTTTGAGAAAGAAATTTATAATAGTAATTCAAGGCCTGTGAGGACTCTTTAGGGGGAATTTTTTTTTTCTTCTGCTTGGGTTCTTGGGCAACTGATAGTTTAGGACAAGCTTTCCACATTTAAGGGTTGAGGTTCCCAGGGTGAACCTCACTCTGAGGCTCACCTGGCCTGCTCTGGAGCATGTCTATGTGGCTCCTGTTCACCCTCTGCCTGCTGCCGGTCCTGGGGTTGGTAAGTGTTCCCTTCACCCCACAAGGCCATTAAAACCAAAGTTTAAATGTTTCAGAACAGACGGACACATGCTTTCAGCAGCTTTCCTGATTATTTAACTCACTGGGTTATTTTATCTACAGTTGTATCATTCCCTGCTGCCTTCTTAGCTCCTGGTGCTTTTGAGAAGACTTAAAGGTGAATTCAGCTCTTTTTCAGTTGTTTCCAGCAGGATGCTGTTCCAAGTAATCCATGACATTACCAGAAACAGGGGAGCTGGAAATTTCTTTACATGGAGGAAGAATTCCAGAGAAAATGGTAAAAAGTTTTCTTAGAAAAAAATATAGCGGAGGGAGACAGAAAAAAAGCGCTAAGGAATAAATTAAGAATGTGTGAGATACCAGAAGTCCAGAGAGGCTTGACTTTCATTCTAAGATTTAGAGGTAAAAGGAATTATGGGATTAACTGGCCTCTGTTTTCCAGAGAGTACAGACAAAGGCCCCAGTGACATCAGTCCGGGAACTGGTCAGCCTTGGATACCAGGACGGCAGGTACCAGCTTTGCAAGAAATCCCATTGTTCTGGTGATGCTGGAGATTTTTCTTCTTGGAAGGCTGGGAAGGGAAATCTTTAGTTCTGAGAACACTCCCCTCTTTAAAAAATTGGTGGTGGTTCTTAGGGGCTTGGAAGCCTCAGTGTCATTGTTGTTCAGGGTGCTGTCTGCAGGAGGAGGCATGAGCATTGCACATTTTAAAAGACCAAGGATTCATTTTATAATATAAAAATATACTTTGTTATAAAATTAGAATAAAGCAAAATAGACTGTATCATAGATTGGAGGGAACTCTTCACCATACAGTCATTCAGGGTCCCAAGCTGAAAGTGGTTCTGTGATTTTCTTTTTTTCCCCTCAACACATACTTTTAAAATTATTTAAAATTTTTTATTGTTGTTCAGTTACAGCTGTCCCAATCCCCCCCTTGCCCTACTCTGTCCAGCGCACCCCCTCCTCCTATAGTCAATTCCCACCCAGTTGTCCATGTCCAGGGGTCCTTTATACATGTTCCTTGACTAGACCCTTCCCCTTCTTTCCCCCATTATTCCCCTCCCCCCTCTCTGGTTACTGCCAATTTGTTCCTTTTTCCACATCTCTGGTTCTATTTTGCTCGTTTGTTTTGTTTGTTAGGTTCCACTTACACGTTAGAGAAGTCTGTAGTCGTAGCTATGTTTTAAGCCCGTCATCTGTGGCCATTTCATCTCAGCATTTCACACGGAGTGAAATCTCAGACTGCAGCGCATAGAATGCTGAAGCCCAGGGCAGAAGGCAATTCCAGTCGTAACTTTTCCTGAAGGAAAACAGGCCATGCTTCTTCAGGTTGTAGTTTCAGGTGTGTCCACAAATGTACAGGGAAAAAGTCCTTCAGAAAACACACTAAATACTGACGGGGGATTTTTAATTCTTTGTTGAGATTTTCTTTGTTTTTTAAAATTTATACAATATACATATGTTATTTATATAATCAGAAGGTACGAGGTCATTTTGGAACAGAAACCAGGTGCTGTCTATACCACAGCTGAGCCAGAAAAAATCCACAAACCCATTGTAACATGAGAAACAATTACACCGTAATTTACATAGTAAGCACTGGGGAGAAGGGAGAAGGTCTCTTTGGTTCTCTGGCATGGGAAGTGAGGTTGAAGGCCAGTGGCTCACAGAGAAGCGTGGCTGTTGTCTACAGGGGACTCTGTTAGTCTGGGAGCAGCCACCCATTCTTTTGAAGTTATCCGTGGGTTGTTTATGGAATCCAGGAAGAGCTTTGATGGTTTCCCTAACTCCCTCTGGAAGATTTTCTGGACAAAAACCCTGACCTTGTCTCAATCAGTAAGGCAGAGAGAGAGAGGAGAGGAGAGGTTAACGTGCTTCTCAACTCAGTCTTGCTTTATAGCTGCACTTGACAGAAACATCCGTTCTTCAGGTAAAGGTTAAATATTTTAACTGCTCATGGGTCTAACTCTACCACTGCTTTTGGTTCAGCTTCTGTAAATTAAAATTTCAAAATCTCATTGGGAAAGTTAGAGGGTCCCACTTTGGTTTCCTCCAGCAATTCCATGAACAACAGTCATGACAGGAGCTTTGCTGTGGGAAGACTTTTCTAGAATTTTGCTTTGACTTGACTCACTCCAGTGACTCTGAAAAAGTCACCTCTCCTGGTGTCTCCAGACATCTGCTCCAAGAGCTCCGTCTAGTTCTCTCCACCGCATTTCATTACTTCCACTCTTACAGGTCTTACCAAATGTACAGTCCATTGTGTGGTCAGTTCCTGGTGGCCACAATGGACTCGAGGGCAGAGACACTCTCTTTGATTTCTGTTTACTTAGCCTAGAAAGAAGGAGCTAGTGTACAAAGAGAAGACCTGCTTTGGATTCTGCTGTGACATTAGCCGGAGAAAATATTCTGTTTTTGCGTTTTCATTTTGTTTCAACCACAAACCATACACTGCTCAGCATCACTGCATCATTGTAAAGTTCCTTGTTGGGTGAATATGAATCAACATAAATCAACAAAACTAATTAAGAAAAAAAGAAAATAATTAACATTGCTCTTTAAAATCATTTTCAGAATCATCATATAGTTGGTTCTTCTACTTCCAAGGGGTCACCCAGGTGACTGTACATTTATTCAAGGACTTGCAGCTCCTCCACCACTTTGGGAGTAACTCTTTCTGCCCTGTGTTTTAATGCACATGAGATAAATCAGTCTCTACGCCACAGTCCTTTGTTGGTTGAATGTCTGTGGACTTAGAACAAAAGAAGTTTGCTCAGTTTGGTCATCCATGTAATTCACCAGACTTGAGTTCTTTGCATTGGGTTTTGGTTGCATCTAATGTAGCAAATTACAACTTTTGAGAATGGTACAAAGCTCTTTAAAGTCTGACCTCAGCCTGCTGCTCTCCCATGTCTCTTGCTACCTCCCAGCCCGACTCATCTCCTACATCCTGCTACTGATGCCCAATGTTCCAGCTTTGGAAACGTCACTCTTCCCTGTGCACCATGTTCTCTTGTGCCTCTGCCCAATGACTTTCCGTGCATTGTTGGTGTCCTCATTTTTCAAGGTGTAAATCAAGTACCACCAGATCCCAGTTGTTCCTCTCTCTAAGCTCTCATCTCCCTGAAAGTATTTCTGCTGTAGCCTTTGTGCTGTAGGGGAATGACTTTTTTTTTTAAGTAGTCTGGCTTCCCCACTGGAGTATAGGCCCCATTAGGACAGGCTCCAGGGTTGTGCTAATATTCCCAGGGCTTAGCACTGAGCTAGGCACAGGGCAGGGAAGAATGATCACAACACAAAGTCTCCTTTAAAGGATCAGACATGTTTTTAAACATGTGCTACAGACTCAGAAGGCATTAAGAATGTATGTATTACATGCATGTTACTCCAGGCACTGGGCTGGCTGTGGGGACTCATAGGTGAAAAGGACATAGTCCTTACACCCAAAGAGGTAGAGGTTAGAGGAGGAGACTCCGAGAAAGCAGGTAATAATCACAAGCCAGGTGAGAGTGGGGTATGCTGAGGAGAAAGGGGTTGGTGTGACCGTGGCACCTTATGAAGTGGCTTCATTGATTCCTCACATGATTGGGGAACACTGGCCCTGTCATTAAAACAGAAGTCTAATTACACGGGGTTTTGAAAGGGTCACCGAGGTTTATTTTGGCCTCAGATAATGATCTCTCTTTGCCTATTCCCCGTTGCCTGACATTCCACTACAAGCTACCCCTTTAGAGAAGAGCCTTATATGCTCCAAGAGTTCTGTTAAAATGTGCATGCATGTTGTTAAGATGAGCTAACAGTACCTCAGCTCCTCCTGACACCTGACCTCTAGGTCATCCTGACTCCTCCACTCTCCTTCCCTCACACCTCAGTCAAAGTCCTGGGGATCCTTCTTCTTCCCTGAGTCTCTCTCATCTGGTCCTTCTCTGGACTCTCGCTGCCAACGTTTAGTTCAGGAACGGCTTCTGGAACTGTCTCCTCATCTTCCGTCTGTCCTCACTGTGTTTCATTCCATTGTCTGCTTAGTCTGCTGAAAACAGCATTTCCCTGTTCAGAAACCTTCAGAGGTCTGCCCAAACTTTAAATTTAATATTTAGGGATCTTTGTGAGCTGATTCCCGGTGACTTTTCTAATCTGTTATGGCAGTGACTTAGTCAGGAGATAAATCAGGCAGCTGTAAGAAGACCCCAATTATGGTAACATAAACAAGGTGGATGTTTATCTCTTTCTCATGCAAAAATCTAAGTAGAAGGTCCAGGACAGATCAGGTGGCTTGATAGTGACAGGGACTGTGGGTAGGTTGCCTTCAAGATGACCCCCAATAATTCCTGCCTTCTCTCACTCATACCCTTGTGTAGCTCCCTCCCACCTGCATAAAAGCAAATGGGGAAAAGTATTTTTACTTACATTGTATATGTAAGAAACTGATACTCAAAGAAATTAAGTGACATGATTGGTATAATGGGTGAAAGAGACAAAAATCAGGTGTCCTGATACCAAATCCAAGGCTTTGTTCAACTTCTGGTGATGCTGTTCCTTGCAAGGAGAGTAATTTGAATGAATGCAGTGAAACATTTGCATTCATTCAAATGATTGCTCACTGGGTTAAGCAGTGCCCTCACACCCAGAGATAATAATGTACAAATACATATTTATTCTTTGAAATTCTCTTCAGTTACATACATTAATAAATGATAAGTAACATCAAAAGGGATGTGGACCCCCCCTTTCCTCCTCTATCTTATTAATTAATCAACCCACCCTCTTTTCTGTTGGCTCAGAGATAGACAGATTTGCATAATATCCAGGTTGCCATGGCTGATAACATGCTTTGTTAGTTAACTCTTAAAGGCAGTGTCATGTAAAAGCGTGCAAATGACCACATGAATTATGCATAAGGGACTCAACTCAAGTCATGCATGTAAGATGGCCATTAAGAACACAAACTTGATTCTCTTATTCTTTCATAAAAACCCCTACACAGGGCTAGCTAGCCTAGTCTGTAGCCCTCTCATAGAATGAAATGGAATTTGATTTACTTGGTTTGTACACATTTACAAAATGGAGACTACTAACCAAGAAAAGAAAATTCTATAAGCACAGTTGGCATCTGACAAATAATAATAATATATCTTTTCAAATTTTGGCACATGTTGTAGAATGTTATATAATCTTTTGTGCACACAGCGACTGATGAAATCTAACCCTTTCTTTGTCCACCCAGCCAAGAAGGACCTGTATTAGACTGATAAGTGATTTGCTGAAGAGCTCAACAGGTACCAGGAGAGATTCAAATCCCATCTCCTGGTCTCCAAACTTACTGTCTGTGATACCTTAGAGGACAAAACTGACTCTTGAGGGGGATAATGCTCTATGGGAGGGACAAACCTTTGCTAACTCAGGAGAATGGAGATGCAGGGGAGACCCTGGTCTTCACCACCACAGCCGAACTGCCTTCCAACTCCAGCTGCCCAAGACCTAGCCCAGCTTCTTACCAAATTCCCAAGCTATTAAAGATTCAAGGACACCTCAAAGAGGGTGTATAGCTTGGTCATTTTGTTGGTCAACTCTCACATGGCCTGGAAAAGAGCACCCTTATGTGGTTTGATTGAATCTTATTTGGAAGAATTTGTTGGGTTTTAACTGAACTGAAAGTTCGGTTAAAAGTCCACATGTAACTGAAAGAACAGCTTGCTGATGCTGTCCCATTGGGGATCATGGAGAAACCCAGATTTGGGGGGGCTGGCATGCATGCCCACTCCAAGCCATTGCCGTCTCTCACCAGGCTACTGTGGTGGTGCCTGATGCGGCCTCCTTGCCTCCTCGCTCCTTCCATACTGCCTGTTTCCCACACGGCAGCTGACACCACCTATGGCTTCTCATTACCCTTGGAACAAACTCCCAGGCCCTTACTCCTGCCCACGAGGCCTTCCATGGCAGGGCTCTACTGGTCACGGAGTTGGGTCTACAGGTCAACACAACACCCAAAGGACAAATGCTGTGCAAAATTAGTTAGAAAGCTCCTAACTAATTTTGTACCACCCTCCTCCTTGCCCATCACTTTCCAGCCCTCGTTTTCTTGAACACATAAAGCTTGCTCCTACCTTAGGTCCTTCACACTTCTTCCTTTTTCCTGGAACAATCCCACCACCCTGTCTTTGCCTTTCCAGCTCCTTCTTGACATTTTCATTTATTACTAAATGTCACTTCCCCCAGAGATCCTTCCCTGACCGTCCAGTCTGAATTAGTGGTTCTAGCACATGACTTGGTTTTATTTTCATCTTATTACTTCCTGATATTTCCTTATTTAATTTGATCTGTTTTATTGTCTGACTTTCTCCTTCAAACTGTAAGCTCCAAAGGCAGTTGTGAATCAGAACCTTCAGTGTCTAATTCTCCACTGGGTCTCCAGTGCTGCAACAGTTGACTGGCACTAGGACACCCCCCATGTTTGTTAAATGAACAAATGAATGAATAAATGCCTTTGTTTTAATTTGGATCAGTCATATTAGAAAAATATGTTGGTTTACTTCCATTTGAATTGATGCAGTCATTTCATAAAAAGAAATCTTCCCCAGTTAATGTCAATTCATAGGTTAATAAAAAAATCACTATGGAATCAGCTCAAGCTTCAGTAAGTTAGTGTGCTATTCCCCTGACAGACACAATTCAAATCCCTGACTCAGATATCCAAAGGTGTTATTCGAGTTACAGTTGCTAGTCATGGGATTGTCTTACTTCACCTTTCTCTGGGCTCCAAGGACCCAACACAGGTCCTGTGGCCCTTGTAAGTTTCTTTGACCTCTCAGCACACAGAATTGCTCTCTTTCTTGGTTCCCCTCTCCTTTCACAGCATTTAGTGTTTTAGTCGCTTATGAGGATTTGGGTAGAGCTGGCTATTGGATAGTCTCTGCTATTTGGAGTGAATTTGCAGGTAGGCTGTTCACTCTTTGAAGGCAGAGTGAGGGTAAGAAATAAATTTCTCCTGGGTTCCTGTCTTAGACTTTCTAGCACAGCATTTGTCCTAAGGGTGTTGTGTGGACTTGCACACCCAACTCCAGTGCCCTTTTCTGTAGGGTCCCAGGACAGTCTGGCCCTAATTTTGGCCACGGTAAGTGGCAGTGGGCAGGGCAGTGTTCCAAGGGGGCTCTTTCCAGGATGCCTGAAATGTGTAGGGCGCTTCCCCTTTTCCTTTCAGTTGAGGTCATTCAGTGAAGTCATTCTTAGCCAGAAATAAGTTGTAAAAAGGCAAGAACCAGATCCCTTTATCTCCCATAATAGCTTTCCACAAAAGAGGGAGCTCCTCCCAGCTGAGACAGAGCCTCGTTTTAGCTGTTGCTGCTGGGCAGCCCATGACAACCCCCTCCCTGGCCAGGAACCCATGCTCATCTCTTTACCAGATACATGATGGTGCATTAGCAACAGACTCTGGGCACCTTCTTCCCTTTGGAGGGGTTTGGGTCTTGGAGGAATAGTGTTCTTAGTAGAAAGATATGGTAAAAACCTTACTTCTCCTAAGAGCCAACAAACCTCCTCTCTCCAAAGAGAAACCTGTTGTTATTAGGTGATTCTTTTGATAAGACACTCGGAATGAGGGTGGGCATCTGAGCTGTAGTCTTAGGTCCTGGGGCTGCCTTCTAAGGAAGGTGGATGTGGATGACGGAAAAGTGCAAAGAAATTCCTGCTCCCAAATCCCTCTCATTGGTAAGGAGATTAAGTCATTTGTTTGTTGAAAGCTTTTCTGCCTTTCAGAATTTTATTAAAACAGAAGTCTCCCAGCAGGGGTAAACTCTAAGCCATTTGTCAGCCTGGAACCTCATGTACAGCTCCATGGAGCCCTATAATAATATAATGATCTTATAGTATAGAATTTACCTCATTGCTTTTTTTCATGTTTGTGACCCCACCAGGTGGACAGGGACCCTAGAGCAAATGTGGTACAGGGACAATTTATCTTATCTGTCTTTTCCCTCCCAGGGTCTAGGATTGTACCTGGCATGTGATAAGCCCTTGATAAATATTTCTGAATGAATGACCAACATTGCTAGGTGCTTCCAAGTCTGGAAGCCAGCTGAGCTGGAGAGTGGACCTCAGACACTGGCACGAGAACAGCGGTGGGGACAGGGGCTCCGTAAAGAGAGGGAAGAAGATCCCTAGACTTCTGGATCTGACACCTTGGCCACACAAAAGGCAGGTGGTGACAAGGAGAGCAGGAAGTGAAAGTTCTCAGAGGATGCCATGGATGTGTTTTAAGCATGTACTTTCTCTGTGTTCTGTGACTCTGACACCTCAGTGAAGCCATTTCATCTCCTCACTAACCAGTAACATCCTTTGCTTAGGCATTTTGAGTGTGAATTCTAAAGACAGCCCAAGGAACCGCCCCTTCAGTAAACCTGGGGGACAAAGGCTGGCTGCAGGGTCAGCTGTGTCCGAGATAATGGCAGTTTGATTTCCTCAGGTCATATCGCCCCTTGAAAGGAGAAAGCAAATGGTTCCTGACCTACTGCCTGTAGGGACTGAGGCAAGTGGTGGCTGCAAGACGGTCCCACAGCACATGCTGTGATAGAACACAGGCTGAATCCCAGGCTGTTCCTCGTGGTTTTCTGAACAGATAATGGAGCAGCATGGCAGCTGGCAGGACCTGGCGGCGTGGCCAGCATGCACCACACCCTAAAGCCGGGGCCCTGTCAACTCAGCAGGATGCATTTTGACAGAGTTGCTAGCATGCTGTCAAGATGCACGATTGTCCCAAATTGCTGTGTGGGTTCCTCTGGCAACTGTCTAGGAGCCATTGCTGCTTCTATCCGGGTTTAGAAACACCAACAACTACTAATCCTTATTAAGCATCTACTTTGTGCTAAGCATGGTTCTAAGTGATTAGACACTTGTGAAATCACCTAGTCCTCATAACAACCAAGGAGGCAAGTGCGATTATCACCCACATTTTACAGATAGGAACTTTAGAAAGAGAGACACTGTAGAAGGGCTCACTGTAGACGCCTTCTTCCCATCTCAGAGTGATGTTTTATACAAAGTTCTCAGGTTTTGGATTTCCCATCTCAGAGGGCCTCTATCTTGCTGGCTATGTCTCCTCCCTCCTCATGGCCCTCTGACCTTGGCCCTTCATTTCCATTGTATGTTTGGCAGTTAATTCTGACCTCTGTCTGTCTCAGGGTCCTGGGCTCTGTACCGATGGCCCACAAGCCAGCCCTGCCTCACCCCAGCACCCCACTGGCCTCTGGAACCCCTACCTGGCATCAGATGGGTGGTTCTACAGGCTGCCAGGGGTCAGCAGTAGAGCGTACAGTTGGTGGAAACAGTGCATCCTCTTGTGAAAGCAGGTACTCAGCTTGAGGCAGGTCTCCATACGGAGGTGCAAGGAGCACATTAATGTCTCATTTTTATCATCAGGACCTCTTTCCATTTTCTGAGACTTTAGGGAGTAAAATCAAGTCCATACATAATGATTTCTTTGAAAACCCACGTTCAGTAGCCCTCCAAAACCTCTCTCAGAATTCAGCTTCTCTAAGACCTCTTCCCTTGAATCCCCACCAAGGTAGCCACTCCTCGCACCAGCTCTGCATCTTTTTAATCTTTTACCTTCTGCACCTTGCATCATTTAACCACCACTTCAGCCACCGCTTCTCATACTCTGTCTTACAGTCAACCCACACCCGACCTCACCGCCACACATTCAGCAATCCCTGTCATCTGGGGTTGTGTCAGCTGCTCTTGCTTACTCTCCTTTTTGTGTGTTACGTTGTTTCTTTAAGTAGACTATAGATCTGGGAAGTCATCTGTAACTTCTCTACTCCCACTATCTATACCAAGGCCGGGCAGAAAACAAATAGCTCAGAAATGGACTTTGCCACTGATGAGGCACCACACTGGCTCCTTGGTGCATGGGTATCAAGTATTCTGGCTCTGGATGCAGACCCTCCTTAAACTTGTGGCCTCTGCCAGTGCTACCTGCCTCTCTTCTATACAATCTATGATTCTGGCTAACCTCCTACATTTTGTAGACTTTATATTTTCTGTTTTTACAGACTTTTGTTTAGAGCAGTTTTAGATTCACAGCAAAATTGAGTAGAAAGTATGGAGTTTCTATAACCCCGTGTACCCACACACATGCCCTGGGCCCCCCACTATCAGCATCCCACACCAGAACGGTACATTTGGTATAATTAATGAGCCTACATCGAAACAACAAGTGTTGGAGAGGATGTGGAGAAAAGGGAACTCTAGCACACTGTTGGTGTGATTGCAGACTGATGCAACCAATATGGAAAACAGTATGGAATTTCCTCGGAAAACTAAAAATGGAACTGCCTTATGACCCAGCAATGCCATTGCAAGGATTATATCCTAAGACCCTGAAACACCAATCCAAAAGAACCTATGCACCCCAATGTTCATAGCAGCACAATTTACAATAGCCAAGTGCTGGAAGCAACCTAGGTGCCCATCAGTAAATGAATGGATCAAAAAACTATGGTACATTTACACAATGGAATTCTATGCAGCAGAGAGAAAGAAGGAGCTTATACCCTTTGTGACAGCATGGATGGATCTGGAGAGCATTATGCTAAGTGAAATAAGCCAGGCAGCAAAAGACAAATACCTTATGATCTCACCTTTAACAGGATCAAACAAATCAACAAAATGAACAAACAAGCAAAATATAACCAAAGACGCTGAAATTGAGAACAGGCTGACAGTGAACAGAGGGGAGAGGGGAGGGGATGATGGGAGGAAAGGGTGAAGGGTTTGCAGGAATAAGTATAAAGGACATATGGACAACAACAACAATGGGAAGAAACAGGGGAGGGAGGTGGGGAGGGTTGGGATGGGGGAGGGGTGGGAGGAAAAGGCAGAAAACTGTACTTGAACAACAATTTAAAAATGTAAAAATAAATGAGCCTACATTGACACATCATTGTCTCCCCAACTCCACAACTGACATTGGGGTTTGCTCTTGGTGTTGTACGTTCTGTGTTTAGATAAATGCTTAACAATGCAATAATAACCTGTGTCCATTATTACAGTATTGTACAGGATAGTTCCATGGCCCTAAGGATCCTGTGCCCTGTGTGTTTATTCCTCCCTTGCCCCTAACCCTTAGCAACCACTGATATATTCACTGTCTCCCTAATTGTGGCTTTCCCAGAATGTGGTAAAATTGGAACCAT